ATGAGAACGTCGAAGAAGTGAGTCTGATATGAGCCTATTGTTGATTATATGAGCTGATATTACCTACCCTATAGTACAAGAAGATTGCTGATGTACTCGCGAGCAACGAGTTCAAGGAAAAGAACGCGTATAGAGTGTACCAAAACATGCATCACGGCTGGGCGGGTGCTCGTGCAGATCTAGAGAAGGAAGATAACCACAGAGAGTTTACTGACGTATACTCTAGGCTCGCTACGTTCTTCAAGAACGCTGCCTAAGAAGTCTAGCAATAGTCCCTATGTAAGCCCATCTGAAATGATTCAAATTGAACGACGGTAAACCTAGTGTCTTGTGACCTGTAAGCTACCCTCTGACCTTGAGCTAAATATAAGCCTGCCGGCCGAACTGTCGTCAGCACGGCTCGGAAACCGTATAGCTCGGAGACAATTTAGCTCGGAACCAATATGGAGTGAGGGATGTATTGAGCCCTAATCTCGATATCGATAGCCTCTATGAGCAGGAGTGCGACTATAAATAAGTCAGAAGTCACTTTGTATCTCGTTCAGCGATTCTGCCTACTTTGATCTACCCCACAGTCATGTCTTCTTCTATCCCTTTCACAAGTGAGGCCTGCCTTCAAATACCAGCCGTGGAAAGTTCCTATCAACCCAAAGGAGTCTATGTCTCACTCGGAGAATTCGATCAAGTATATAAGGTTGGCGAAAAGTCCTCCCTTGCTATCATAGGTGAACATTACTTGATCCCCTCTGTGGAGACTGATTTTACTTACTCCTCTGCTCTCTTCATCTCAGCGGTATACGACGTGTAGGAGGGCCTCCCCTAAGAGAAAGAAATAGTGTTCAATTCATATAGGTTTGGATTTTCTCCCCAGTCTGAGCAGGGTGCGGACATATTGTCCGAGACCCTGGGATGTCAGGTATTCATGCCGGATTTCTTTCATGGGTGAGCACTTTATCCCGTTCATGAATAATAGTGTACCACTAACCGAAATTAGGGATCCAGTTACGAATAAGGTACATCCGCCTGTAACCGAAAAGCAGAAGGTAGTTATTTGCCCAATACGAAATATTTCGTGGCACTAATTGGGTTTCCCATCCCATATGAATAGGAATGGATGAAGAACTTTTGGGAGAAACATAGCGATCCAGCTAACTCGTTGCCTGATCTTCAGAATCTAGCCAGATTGTTGAAGGCGGACGGCGTTCAAAGGATTGGTGTATATGGTCTGTGTTGGGGTGGAAGAATTGCAACAATAGCCGGTGCGAATTTAGGTTTGGATGAGGGAAGTGCACCACTGTTCGATGCTGTGGCGTCCATCCATCCGGGGATAGCCAGCCATGGAGACCCTCAAGCGAACAAAAGGATAACTGTGGATGATATCAAAAGAGTCACAGTTCCTACAGCACTATATGCCTCCAATGGAGAGCCCATTGACACGGTACGCGTGTCTCGTTTACCTACCAAAGCTCGAGTGGTACTTACATGAGCGATGTTTTCGTATCCCCAAGTACAAGGAATTGGTTGAAGCACTAGACGAGCTGCTTTTCTCCTCGAAGAATGCATATCGCTATTACGAAAAAAATGCACCATGGCTGGGCGGCAGCTCGAGCTGATCTTGACAATGAAGAGAACAGAAAGGAGTTTGGGGATGTGTACTCGAGGCTCGCAAGCTTTTTTAAGAATGTAATGTGATCGGCTGTTCATGCTAGTTCATTGGTTGTTCTGGACCCCTGCCATACTAGGGTGTATCTCTTGCCAGATGGAGTCTTACCCAGAACCTTTTCCCTTAATAACGAAGATGGCTATTGGTGTAAGCGGGTCAAATGGCTTCCATCCATCTATGTACATGGTGATGCACCCACGACTATTGAATACTGGACTCCTCAAACATTGGAGAAATTAGATAGCCTTCCTCCGGTTTCCATCAACACATGCCTAGTCCCAACTCGGTTTTCTTGAGCCTGAGAGTGAGTGATCCAAATAATGGCCTTTAAAGTTGCATGGGAGCGTAACATCGTAAGTAGCTGCTTCTCAATAATACCAGAAGTTTCCTCATCAAGGGCAGAAGTAGGCTCTAGAAGATCATAAGTATGACATAAGAATCGAGTGCGTTCTTACCATCTAGAAGTAAGATCTCGGCGCCAGGAATACCCACTGCGAGAGCGAGTACTATGCGCTGCGCTTCTCCACCACTAAGCGAACTCCACGCACGGTCCCAAGCAGAGGCATCTATACCCCAACTTTCAGCAAGTTCTATGGGTCCATCAACGCTAGAGCTATATTTTTCGCTGCCTTTTCGTGATTTGAATGAACGGACATTGTCCAGGAACACTCGGGGTGTAGACGGCAACATTGATGGCCGTTGCGGAACATATTGCACTAATGTACGATAGAATGATACACCTAGTACTTGTCAGTAAATCATAAACTAGTCCATCTATAGCTCACCGTACTCTGTAGGTTTCCTGTTACAAATACGCGTCATAAGTCAAGGCCCCCTGTTGGATACAAAAAACTCACTTTCCACGAAACAATATATCTCCGCTATATACATTCAAGTGTGCTAAACACTTGAGTAGAGTAGATTTTCTGGATTTTATGGGTTGTGCGCGTATTAGTTAGAGATAATGATATCATGAGCTCCTTCAAGTCAATCAATGGCTACTTACCCACTCCCCGATTTGCCTACCAGAACGAGACAATCTCCTTCATTTAGCTCAAATGAGATACCGGAGATGAGAGTTTTATCCCCGTAAACACAGGCGACATCCTTGACGGATAGGAGTGGTTGGGACGAAGTCATCTTTGAACTTTACCCTCCCGAACATAAAACTGGGCATCCTGTTGGGCCGGCCATTATACTCTCTTATTCGTCTGAGAAGGACTCAAAATTTCTATTTCCGGCCTATGAGTGTCTTGTCAGGAGACCAAATCCAGGTACCAGAAGGCTTTAAACTGCATACAGAAAACAGCGCACACTTGTTACTGCCGGATTCGAATGACGCATTCCTTAACCCGGTGCAAGAGTTTAACCGTGATCTAAGTGTTGCATGTATCCGGGTTTGGGCTGCAGAACGGGACGAACAGAAGAAGCAGAAATGGCTCCTCAACAATCGACGACAACATGACTCAGAGAAACCTGGTAAGCGCCGAAAACGTGTGTTTTGTTTCTATATGAGGAAATTTCTCTGATCTATTCTAGTTGGTGATATGCAAACCGATGACCCGGAAAGCTCAGAGAAGTCGACCAGTCTTGAAAAAGAGGTACCCACATGAAAAAAGGAATATGTAGACGTACTGATTTTCCCTCCAAGTATGTGCCACGTGGTATTGTCATTTTGGAGGCCCTCTCGGCGACAGGATTGAGGTCAATTCGTTATGCTAAGGAGATCCCGAGTGTCAAGTAAGTCATATATCTGACCAATGATTTGTATTTACTCATCGACAGTTTTTTCCATTGAAGATATGTACTGGCCAATGATTTATCGCCTGCCGCATGTGAAGCTATGAGACGAAATGTAGAAATAAACGGGCTAGGGCCAGGTGCTTCCGACAGTTCGGGTTCTGATCTAGGCAAAGTGAGGGTCAATGAAGGAGATGCATGGTATCAGTTCACTTTACTGTTTATTTGGATCATTTACTGACATAGAATAGCTCTCTTATGTATTCGCATAGAGTGGGCCAAGATCGCGTTGATGTAGTAGACCTCGATCCTTATGGAACTGCTGCACCATTCATTGACGCTGCTGTACAATGCGTCAAAGATGACGGTAAGTCAGGGATATCCAAGCTTTCTGTCCACTCACACGATCGGCAGGCCTGCTGTGTGTTACCTGCACTGACCTTTCGGTTCTTGCAAGTGGAAATTACCCAGAAAAATGGTATTGGAGCACCATTTTCCCTTGATTAGATCTGATACCCGCACAGCTTTTCGAACTACGGGGGAGTCCCTGTTAGAGGAGAATACTGCCATGAATCTGTACGTCATCCATTCTTGTGTCAAATACTTCACTGAGTTGTGTAGTCGCTACGGCTCGTTCTGAATTCCATTGCCATGTCGGCAGCTCGATATGGAAGGTCAATCAAACCCTTATTGTCTCTATCCATCGATTTCTATGTGAGGATGTTTATCCATATACGAACGAGTCCGATAGAGGTCAAGAAGCTACCTAGGTATGTCGTTGACAATTAGGAAAATAGTTAACTTATCGTTAATGCAGTCAAATATCCACCTTTTACATATGTACTTCCTGTCAATCATATTATGAGCAACCGCTTGGTCGTGAAGTCGAACAAGCTGGCAAAGGTAGCTCTGGTCCGAGTTACAGCTATAAATCTCATGCTGGACCGACCGTTCCTCAACGATGCCCGGAATGCCAGTCCTCCCTTCATGTGAGATTTGGTTTGCCTTACTCTGGACTTGTACTGACAAAACTCCCAGATGGCAGGACCTATGTGGTTAGTATAAGCCTTTAACCAGTAGTGATCCTACTCATATGGGTCCATAGGAGTGCCCCTATTCATGATAGCGACTTTGCGAAGAAGGTCGTAAAGCACATTGATGAGGACCCCTCTCGTTATGGGACCTCCACCAGAATCAAGGGAATGGTAACGGTTGCTTCTGAGGTACGTTAGTGCTTCATTGGGGTAGTGGTATCAAACTCATAGCGTATAGGAGCTGCCAGTCCCCTTCTACTTCACTCCAAGCAAGGTCGCAGGATCTTTCCGATGCGAAGTCCCCTCTTTGGCAGAGACAACGTGAGAGACTCCTCTTTTTATTGTCTATACAAGTCACTTAGTATCCCAAGTGCTGCGCTTTTGCATGGCGGATATGAGATATCGAGGTCTCATGCCCTAGGAGGCTCGATCAAAACGACGGCTCCTCGATCCTTTATCTTTGACATAATGCGAGAATGGATAAAGACACATCCTGTCAAGATGGACAATATTTCACCTGGTCAAATTGCCCACCAGCTATTAGCCAAGCCTCAAGAGTAAGGAGATTGATATTCTACCAACAAGTATGCTGAGCACTTTACAGGGCTGAGATTAGCTTTGAGAAGCACCCTAAAATGTTTACCCGATCGGATGATGTCAAGTTGGTCCGGTATCAAATCAACCCAACTCCGAATTGGGGCCCAAAACCAAAAGCCAAACGGAAGCGAGACGCAGCAGATGAGGGCAACTGAAAACGGAATAATAGGATATGGAGAGCGCAAGGATTACTGCTTATATTTAATATCATACATTCACCTCAATCTCCCTAACCCCATTCTCGTCCACTACTTTTACTTTGAATGTTGGGAACGAGACTACCAATCTTATTTGGACTTCTCTGATACACCGTTTGAGTGTCTCGAGTCCCTCTTCTAAATCTGCATTTGGGTTGTGGTACCTGTAAACCGAGACGCGTAAGCTATGGTTCAACGTAAAGGCAAATTGAACCAAATACCTATCGAGTAAACTCAATGCAAAGTAAGAACCATATCCATGTGCGGCAAACGGCACGTCGCTTTGCGTGCCCAGGTAGTCCATCCAGTAGAGTTTTGGTTGTTTCTCAGCCATATCGTACCCTCCGAGCAGGATATTTACGGCATAGGGTGAACGCGAACGAAGCGAATCTGCAATAGATCGTCGAACCCAGGATGCAGCTGCTTGTGGCCGAAGAGGATGATTGTTCCTCATTTGCTGCAGCCTCAAATTGCGCTCCACATATTCCGCAAATTGGATCGTGTCACCTATACAGTTTCGTAGTTTAGAGTCGTATATTATATAAAGGTAGAGGGTGCGGGCTCACCTGGTTCGCCAGAATAGGACATTAGGAGGTGAGAGCCTAACGCCTTGATTTTATCTTCGTCCGATTTCATCTTAATAATCGAACGACCTGCATTCTGATCTGCAGCAATCAAGACAAAGTCTTTGCCAGTTAACGCGAAGGACACTTCCATAATGTGGTGGTGGTAATAGTCGAGGCACACGCGTCGCGCAAACGAATCACCACACAAATAGAGACGAAGGCATGCCAAAGAATTTGGAAAGACGATGAATTGAGACATTTTTATTTACATTAATTAGCTTTCTTTTTCATAGCTATCACAGTGGTTCTATATGGATACTCAAAGATGCCACTCGTCTCATCGATCCACACCTTTTCGTGGCTATCGAGGACCGTGTCGATCTTTTTGCGTAGCTCCTCCTGTACATTGCTTGGCTGCACGGCAACATAGCTCTTGCTAATGACTCTATCTTGGACACCTTTGTTGGTCGTGGGCACTACCCAATCCGTGAAGAAACGCTCAGGTGTCTCAAAGTTTGTAACATAGCTCGGCGTCTTGAAGGCTGCCTCCCACCAATTACGACGGAATTGAGGCGTGTCTGCCTCAAAGGCTTCGTAGAGATCCCGAATGTCTGCAACCCATTTGGTGGTCTCCCTGCATTAATAC